AGTGGGGAGTGGTCACTGGAGGCCACCAGAGATGTGGGGGACCGATCCGGACCGGCAGTGGGTCTCTTGGCACCTACCCGCCGTGTCGCTGCAGTTTTGGGGCTGAGCTGCGGCGTTGGCAACCTCCAGCAGCTCCTTGGCTCGGTGGTCAAGGTCGGTGTCTCCAGCTGATGGCTGCAGCAGGACTTTGTAGTTCACCACCACGCTGCCTCTTCTGTGGGGCAGCGAGAGCATCAGCATGGGGTTCCTCTCCCATCCCATCCCAGGGGTTCCTCACCCATCCCATCCCGGCCCGGCCCCTCCCAGGGGTTCCTCACCCGTCCCATCCCGTCCCATCCCATCCCGTCCAGGGGGTTCCTCACCCATCCCATCCTGTCCCATCCCATCCCGTCCCGTCCCAGGGGTTCCTCACCCGTCCCGTCCCAGGGGTTCCTCACCCATCCCATCCCCACCACCGGCCGCACACTCACGTCAGGGTCAGGACGTGGGTGCCACGGTAGCCAGAGACGTTGTGGTAGATCCGATCCATCTGGGGACAGAGAGACGTGTCACCAGTGGGGCTGGGTGGTCCCTTGGGGTGGCCCTGGTGGCCCCCCAGTGACTTTGGGGGAAGGACACAACGAGGGCCGCACCGTCCGGCTGAACTCATCCACGAAGCTGCGATAGGCGGTGGATGAGGTGTCCTCCATGTCCTCGGAGAAGTTCCGGTTGGTGACGTGCGCCAGCATCATCACGGAGGGGCCCAGCTCTTCGTGGAAAGGGGTAGGATACCCGTGAGATGGGGACATCCCACGGGACGTCCCTCTGGGGGATGGGGATGGGGTGGGGGAGGTCCCTCTCTCCTTTACCTGCCGTGATGTTGATGGTCGATGCCCCAAACTGGCAGAAGGCTCCGGTCAAATTGGGGGGGCAGACGCAACTCACCCCCGTCCAGTGACCCCCGTTCTGGCACGGGTCTGTGGGGAGAAGGACGCAAGGACTCATGGGTACCCTCCCCACACCTGCACCCCCCTCCCATAATGTCCAGCACCCTGTGTCCCCTCCCAGTTCCATCCAGTTGGGCGCACCATGACCACAGCCCCGCCACGGTTTTTTTGCGGGGAGGTGGAAGGAGGAAAGTGGTGCCTGGCCCCAACCAGCAGCTCCCTGGCGTCTCCCCCTTGGGTGGGGGGTGACACTGGGACTTCAGGGGTGCGACCCCTTTGGGTGGGGGGCGGGTCCTCTCCCAGAAACGGCCAGGGTGGGGTCTTGGCATGAGCACCCCTGCCAAGGAAGACCTGCCAACCTGCGGTGGTAGGGATGGGCGCGGTGGTGGTGGTCCTCCCGGTGCTCATAGGTGCGACTCTGCTCCTCGTGGGGTGATTGGTTGTTGCTTGGGGTGCGGTGGTCCTTCCGGAGGTGGGGCCAGCTGTGGTCTGGTGGCCCTCACACCGTGGGCCACTAAACCCACCGGGGCAGTAGCACTCAGTGCCCACGGCCGTGCCTCCGTTCCGGCAAGCCGTGGCTTCGTCCGGGGTGTCACAACGACTCCCCGACCGCCCCGGTGGGCAGATGCAACGTGTCCCCCCCGCCGTGCTGCCGCCGGCACATTGGTTGGTGGTGTTCACCGTCTCGCAAGTGGGGCCGGAGTAGCCGGGTGGGCAGAGGCATTCGGTCAAGTTGGCGACGCCACCGTTGCGGCAGATGACTGGAAGAGAGGTGGGGGCGGAAGGATTTGGCGAGGGGACGCAGGTGTCCTGGCCTCCCCACCCCCCAGCTCTGGTCCTTGGGCGTGGTAGACCCACATCCATCCTTCTTTATCCCCTTGTCCCAGGAGACCCCTGGGAAGGAGACCCCCACCCCAGGGGACCCCATGCCAGGACACCCGCTGGCCACAGGGCTGGACCCACGTCCAACCTCCTCTCCCTCCTCCTCCTCCTCTCTCGCCCTGGAAGACCCCGTGTCCCTCGTGGCCCTGGAAAGGAGACCCCTCCCACGCCAGGGCCCCCATGCCACGACACCCACTAGCCGGAGGGTTGGACCCATGGGGGAGATAGAGGCAGAGGGTGGCCGAGGAGGTGTTGGCTCTGCTGGTTGAAGAGGAGCGGGTGGTGACGGTGGTGGAGCCAGGACCCGATGTCGTGGTGGGGACCGTGGTGTTGCGATGGGACGGGAGCATCACCGCTGCGGTCTCGGTGGCGGGGTTGGTGCAGTTCCCGGCACACGCCATGGTAGTATCCACAGGGACCATGTGGGTGGCATTGGGTGCTGGGGTAGCAGAGTCCTTGGTGGGAACGGTTGGGAGCGTGGCCGTGGTGTTGCTTTCCATGAGGACCAGTAGCATGCCCCTGGCGTTGCTTTCCACGGGGGTGGCCGTGGCGTTCCTTTCCGTGGGGATCGGTAACGTGGCCGTGGCGTTCCTTTCCGTGGGGATCGGTAGCGTGGCCGTTGTGTTGCTTGTCATGGGGGTGGCCGTGGTGTTCCTTTCCGTAGCTGTGGTGTTGCTTTCCACAGGGATTCGTAGTGCGGCTGTGGTGTTGCTTTCCGTGGCCGTGGTGTTGCTTTCCATGGGGATGG